ATTAATGTATGTAGTTTGTATGTGATATGTAAATAGTTATTATAGCTATGTTTATTTGTAGTTCATACTAATGTTTATAGGTTTGTATGTGCAATGTATATAGTTTTTTTATAATGGTATTAAATCTCTTTGTATTTCAGTCTAATGGATGTAGTTTGTATGTGACATGTACATAGTTTTTTATAACGATATTAAGTTTATTTTAAAACGTTTATTTGTAGTTTATGCTAATGTTTATAGTTTGTATGTGCAATGTGTATATCGTTTTTGTAACCTTATTTTAAAACGTTTATTTCTAGTTCTAAAGAAGTGTTTTTTTTTTAAACATTCTAGCCGTTTTATGTGTGAAAATTGTGATATTGTATATTCGTTGCTTAGTGTGTTGTTTTACTATTCAAAAACTTTAACTAGCTTATTTCGTCAATATTGCCACATTGTCCAGTTTATTTATTATTTTTTTTATTAAACCGCTAAATGTATACGTTTGCAGTTTGTTTTTATTCTGATATGTGCAATTAGCCTACTAAACACTTCCATTAGTATTTTCAACGATTATGGTCCTAATATAAAATGTATAGGCCTAATTAGGTTCATGGTTAGGGTTGGTAATACAGATGTATTGTAGTAGGCTATATTGGCATCAAGATTAAATTGGGTAGCCTTGCCTGTAGCCGTTTGGTGCTATTTGCCGCATGCACTCTTATAAACAATGCACTTTTTGTCAACGCTATTAGCCTAGTAAAATAACTTAAATATAATTCAGAATATTGCTCTTTGATTTATTAACCATTTAAACATTTGTTAATTTTTGTTACTCATAGTCTTCTAAATAGAAAAACTATCTTAAAATGACACTTTTTTATCTAAAAAAAAATAATACAACAAAATGTTTATATAAATAAATTCGTTGACCAAAATATGCAATTTTATTATTAAATTAATTCATTTGCTTTGCTCAAACGCGCATCACACAGGCACAACAGATTTATTAAACGGATATATTAAAATAATATAATGCCCAAACATTTTAAGGAATAGCTAAAAGATGCATAAAAATTCATGCTAAATGTGTATTAAATTTATGGTGTAGGCCTATGTTGATATATTTTTTAAAAGATTGGAAAAAATCCAACAATCTGATGTGTCCATTGTAAGTAGCATATTATTAAATTATACAGATTACTTGAGTATTATTGTTTTTATTTATTCGATAGGCTTTAGTATGTGAATATGAATAACGAATAGCCAATGATGTCCTTGGACTGTTGTTGATTCGCCATTCTGGATTCAGCTGTGCTGGCGATCCGTGCGTTAGGTGAGTACTCTAGAATTCTAAGGTAACAGTTAATAATTCAAACATTATGAAATTTCCCATGAGTTAATTAAAGAGGTGCCACTAAACATATTTGTCATTTTGAATGAATTTAGTTTCCACTGAAACGGGGTAACAATCTTCCTGGTATAACATAATAATATCGTTTTCGTGAAGGTGCCGAGTTGTGTAAGGAATGCTAACGTTGACTGCTTCGGTCTTCTGCTTTGATTAACGTTTGTTCTTTAACGTTAATTAAAATAAATCACGGACACACCCGTGTTTATATTCTGTACAACAATGGAAGAAAAATACCAATATGAAAAGTGAGTCTCAGGTCAGTGCAGTACCCTTTTTAGGCGAACTCGGGCTAATTCGAGCTAATTTCAGAGAGAGTACGTTAACGGAATGTGAGGGTTGTAAATCTACAAACATCACAACTGTAAGTTAATGTCGCTCGGGGTGTTCAAAATCCCAGAAACACCCTGTTCTGATGTATCAGCATATAGTATCGGACAAAGTGAACCTCTGACGCTTATCGTTGTTTTGGCACTTCATTATTGTAGCCGCCAATTTAGGCAAATACGGTTAGAAAAACTCAAAAGTGGAATAAATCAACTTTATGGCTATGACCTTTATTTATCTGTTGGTCATAATCAAAGAATCAATAACAATGATATTATTTATATGATAATGCATATGTAGTGTTTTTTTCTGGGTCTAATAGGATATATGCAGAAGTATGTTAAAGGACCTTTAATTTGACAGTAACGTTAACCTGAGTTTATCGTTTCCGGTGAACTGTGGCAAAATCGGCGTGTTTAAGGTCTGTTTTCTTTAAAAATCAGTTATCCCCACTGGCTAAGTGATATCCAACATAAAGTTTGTTTCAGATTGTACGAGAAGCACTTCATTAAATAACATTTCCCCACGCCATGTCTTTATATTAGCATTTCTTTTACCCCAGTATATTCAATGGAGCTTCTGCGCTAGCCTGCCGATTCTGGCAGGTGCGTGTGAGTATACGGCTTTTCGCCTCATTTTATGCTTATAAATAGTACTTTTATTATCATCCTTATAAACCTTTTTGCATCTGCCAAAAAAGCCAAACATTCTTAACCAGTGGAAAGATCTTCTCTTGCTCAGCACGTTTCCTATTGCTGGTTCTGTGTGCGAGCAATCTCACTC